TATTTTTGCATTCAAATGTTTATGTTCAGAAAGCATTTTATTTGATTTCAGTGATGGATTGGTGCTTTTATATGACAAGCTTTGTTTTAGAGTGCTGTGCGGGGCATTATTTGCAGTGGCGTGTTTGTTTTAACCAGGGTAGCTGAAAATAAATGTATTTTTCCTTATTTTAGTCAATTAATTTCTTATTTTTTATTCCTCTATCTTTTAGATCTATTTTTAAACAGATTAGATCAGGTTAAATCTGTAAACAGCTCCCTTTGTTGAATATTAGCTGCGATGAAAAAGCCTTAGGGTTAAGGGGTCTCCAAACTGGTTTAAAAATTCATGTTCGCAGCATGTTCTCCCTTTCTAAAAATGTACATTCATCCTTAGATATCGCTATCAACAACAACAACAACAAGTCGTTAAATTCCACACACAATTTCCTGTCTTTTAATCTAAATGATGTCAAAGCAGCATTTATAGCTCTGTAGCGAAAGCAGCATGTCTGCAAAAGCTGCAGTCCTGTGCCAGTTTCTACACTGAGAGCACTCAGCCACAGTATAGCCACAGTGCACTCATAAGTGATAGTGCTTACAGCCCAATACACAATCCATGTAGTTTCACAAGTAAGTTGGAAGGAAATATGACTCGAAGCCTGAAAATACGCTTAGGTTGCAATTGTGTGAGTGAAGTGTGAGTTGTTATATAGCTTGTGTAGACAGATTTGGTCAGAATTTAAACGTGTTTGTCAGATTGAAAACTGAAAAACACGTAGATGAAATGTGTCTTGTGTAGAAGGGGTGTTACAGTATGAAGGCCTTCTTGATTACAGCTTCAGGCCATTATACACTGAGGGTGAAGTCTGGATGACGGTGGGGCAAGCTGGTGGTGTAGTTTACATTGTCATGTAATTGCAGTAAACATCCTAGAGTTAACACTAATGAGCCTGTTGACCACAGCAGGGGTTCTCATCATTGACCTAATAGGGTTTCCATTAGTCTAGGGCTAAAACGATTCCTTGAGTAACTCCATTACAAAAAATGATCAATGCAGAGAAGCTTTGTTTAATCCACAAAACTAACTATATACAGCCAAACAGTGCCCTGTGTTATTTACAAATGATTAATGCTATTGCACAATGTGTTTTGGTGGCAAGAGAAGAGAGGAGAGAGAAAATGACAGTTTCCGAAGTTTGGGATAATGTCAAGCTGAAACAAACTGAAAACTCTGTACAGTGTGTCTGTTGTAAAACCCAACTGGCCAAGCACAACAGCACGCCTGTTAAAAGCTAGCTAGCTTTAGTAAGCAGCTCCAAGTCATTATTTTTCCACAGAAAACAATCACAAGAGTAAACGTGATTAACCAGCTGTTAAGTACAGCTTCCAGCCCCGCAGCTCTGAAGCGTATTCCCTCCGCTTTAGGCCATTTTAATTGTCTTTTACCCTGATAGTAGCTGTTAGCTAACCAGCTGTTCACAGTCTGGAGCTCAGCAGATCAACTGTGAACGGTACAAGAACACGCCGTAGTAAGGTTAACCTTACATATACAGGGACTTCTTATTTCTTTTCTGTGGCAGCAAACACACACAGCCTTTCAGTAACTATTGTACTGTAACCTGAGCTCTTCTGCACACTTAATGGCTGATTAATTAACATAAATACCCCCCACACACCAAAGACTCACTTCCCACAGTAAGACTTTACCCTCCTTTTAAGGGGAATGCTCGACTGGAAACACATAGGTGCAGTTCGGTTGTGGGTGTGCTAACCAGAGGTGGAGGGAAGATCAGATCCTTTGCTTAAGTTAAAGTACCAATACCTCACTATAAGTACAGTGGGGATGCAACAGAAGCCTCTACCCCTGTTGCTGAAAAGATCCTGGAGGAAACACTGAAAACACTTTAAACGTGCTGAATCATTTTCTCTACTGCATATTTACCATTGCTCTGTTGCTACTATTGCTTTAATAAAGCAAAAGTATTTATCTGGTTGCTCGATGGAATAATCTGCACAATACTTGATTACTTAATTAATCGATGGCTGCAGGCAGACATTTGTTTATCCTATCTTTTGTATTTCTTTTATACAGTCATCTTCTTGCATTCTGATAGAAGTGTTTATGTGAATTGACAGTATGTGCACAGTGTAGTACATATAACATTGGTTATAGTATGCTTTCAAACTGTTGTTGCTCAACTTGCTTAGAGAACAAAAACCACAAAATAAAAACATTTAAAGCTACAGGAAACTGTAATTTATGAATTTAGAGGTAAATACACGATGGCCGAAATGCTGTAACTGTTAATAGCTTTATTAGCAGGTCTGTTACAACACTGTTTTGTCACACCAAGAAATTCTTGCTAATTTCTGGGTGTTGTCATTAATGTGTCATTGAAGAGTCATTAGTCTAATGTTCCAGTTGGAAGATGGCTACTAACAACAGTACATGAACTAGCACAGTTCATTTGGCACGTTCATTCATCAAATTTAAGCGAAATAAAAGTGGGGATATGAGAAGGAATTAAACAGATTGTTTGCATGTAGTGCCAGTTTCACACAGAACTGGACAGAAAACAAACTGGGCTGGTAAACAAGATGTAGTTCAGAGTGTGGCGCGGCGGCTCTCTATTTGGAATTTTGTGGGTCATTGATTTTCAAATGAATCATGAATTAACGTAAATTTTGCTGTTCTAGCTGTAGCGCTGCTCTGATGTGTAACAAACAGCTTGTTGTCTGTGCTAAATTAACGCAACCCTCTTTGCATCAAATACACACAGAGTGAGAATAATGCCTTGTTTTGACACTGATGGAACTGAATCCATTTGGTGCATGTAAGGCAAAATCTGATCTTATTCCTCAGATGTATTGATACTTGAGTTCAGCATTGACACACTTTAATTAGTTCTTGTAGGATTGAAGGTACAGAAGCAACTGTCATACTTCCAGTTTTGAATGTTGCTCATCTGGCTTAACTATACAATTAATGGCTGTAGATTACTTTGTTACCTTTACTCTGTGTTTTTGTGGGGCTTGGAGGTTGTATTTTAAGTTTTTAATGTTCAGTTTGTGTATCTGTATGTATCTCATACATGTGGTCTGTCTGTGCTGTGTAAACGGTGTTTTTTTCCCTTTGTGCTGTATTTCTTCTTACAGAGGGATCATATTTTCAGACTTTGACTCCACTTATCATTTCAGTGGATAACCCTAGAGCCAGGTTAGCATTTTGTCTGGTTTTCTGGAAGGCTCATTGTTTGGTCAAAGGAGGCCTGGATGCCAAGGGAGTTGTGTAATAGATGGTGGCATCATGGGCCCATCTGATAGAGGGATTATTGTGTCTGCCCTGCACCGATGGGACCTGAACCCCTCCAGGCTGCCTGTTAATTACGTTTCCAGTTGTTTGGTATGTCGTTGTAGCGTCCTGGGAGCAGTGACTATCTTGCTTTGATGTGGCCACCCCTTCCTAGTCGTATATGTAAGCTGACGAAAAACATGGTGGCAGTGGTCAAATTGGGCCACAGTGGCTAAGGTAGATGAGCTTAGTGTTGTGTTTTATCTGGCAGAACAGAGCATCGAGCATTTGACTTTGAGTGTGACTTGTCTGTTGATGAAAATGATGACGAGAATCTGTAAAATAGTGAGATGAAACGAGGATCTGTTTATGTTTAGTACTAAGAAAGAAACTTCATTTTGCGGCTGTACGAGTTGCAGAGGTTGTTGCAGTTCCAGCCCTTAGCATGTCTGCCGTGGTACAATAAAGGCAGACTCCATCTGAAAGAATATACCAAGGTGAAAGAGTGAATAATTCATGTTGAGTAACATGTTCAACCCCTCTGGCTGTATGCCCACTGGTAATTGGGACAACACCATTCTCTGTCTATTTTGCTCGATCTCTCTTGTTGCTATGCTACCAGAGGGGAACTTGAGTGGGCCTGGACAGTGTTTGGAATGAAAGTTGGACAGCCATGCAGCCTTCATACCTGACACCACCACCCCCCTTTATTTCACTTTGTGTTCTCAGCTAAATATCAGTCCCTTTATCTCCCAGAGGGAGAGCAGGAAACGGTTTTCGAGTTGAGTTACATGGAGTTGAATATAATAGTTAGTCATGACTTAGTCTCAGGTTGCAGTTTGTTTCCTAACCTTTACTTTGCTTATATAGAGCATTCTTTTCTTTTTTCTATGCACTGTACATTTGTGCTTACATTGTGTTCAGCTGTGTGTGGGTGTATAAGCAATGTTGTTCCAGCTCCATTTACCCTGCTCTTGTAAAGCATATACATGAGCCATTGGTAAATTATGAGCTCTGCAATATTCTAGAGTTCATTAGCCCGAGGACAAAAATGTGATGGAATTAAAAATCCAATTGCCTTTTTCTTTCTTCAGCTTCCTTCAGTTTTGAGACAATCTCAATTGAAATGTTAACATAAGCTCTGTTAAACACCACTGTTTGTTGAAAATACCTCAGAGAGGAATGTCAGGCTGGCTGCTATGAATAATTCGCATCTTTCTCTGTTCTGTAATTCACTAAATGGGCAGTAGACAGGCATTTAATATCCTTACTGCTCTATCAGGGCTCTTTCCATTTAGATGGTTGGCCAGGTCACTAATGGGAAGCACCACTGAGTTCTCAGTGAAAGCCAAATGGATATAGACACTCCCATTAGGCCAAAGAAGAGGGGCAAAGAATACTTACATTCAGTACTAGACATGGATTCTCAGGTTAAGTGATCTAGCCATTGACATTGTCAGAGGAAGGGATCATGCAATGGGCAAGACAAGGGTGAACAGTTACTAACAGAGCCTGGATGTCAGTGCTGTCCTTGTGTGTGTGTATTCAAATATGTTGGGACATGACTGCATCATTAAACAAGGATCGGGACAGATTTGTGCACTGCGTGTATCTATTTTTGGAATGTAATGGAGATATAATTTGTTAGACTGGCTTAATAATATGTCATATGCTAGACCACAGACCTAAATGTTAATCTCAACTCCCTTTTTTGATTCTATTTTCAGGAGTGAACCCAGCCTTCCAACATACCTCCTCCCTTTCATTGGGCTAAGATGAGTATTACCAGTGACGAAGTGAACTTCTTGGTCTACAGATACCTCCAAGAATCAGGTTTGTCTCGCAAATATCTGCTAAACACACTAATTGACTGTGTATTTACTGCTTTATGCTGAAAAGAAATGCATTTACTTGTGCTTAATACATGAATTGCTGGTATTTATTTCAGTATTGCAGGGTTTTGCTTACATCTTATTTGACCATTGTCTAAAAAATGCTCTTGAAGCAGTTTCTCTAAACACAAAGCACATAATATGCTACTATTTGTTATGCAATGCATGGTCAAACATTGCATGTGTACCTACATGAAGTAATATGGGTGCACAGTATATTGCCTCGCTCCTTAGGTGTCAACACGCTATTCAATCTTCGATAGGATTTGAATCAGTGATTGATATCCTAGCTCCTGTTTTTTTATTACTGTTTATGGAGACTGCTTCTGAAGCCATCTGGCAGAATACAGGCTACTGGTAGCCCTAAGAAGTCAACGCTGACTTTGGCTGGCCTTATTAAACTCTCAAATATCATAGTTGTTATGTCATTTGGTTTTTGTATTCGATTACTGTTAGCTTTGTTTGGATCAGACAGGACTTTTCTTTGAATATTTGTGTTTGTGTTTTGTGTGTGTTTGAGCACATCTTGTGCTTGGCACTCTTCCGTTAATGAATGTGAATGGTGTTTTTGTTTTCAGGTTTCTCCCACTCAGCATTCACCTTTGGCATCGAGAGCCACATCAGCCAGTCAAACATCAATGGAACACTAGTGCCCCCTGCAGCCCTCATCTCCATCCTGCAGAAAGGGCTTCAGTATGTGGAGGCAGAAATCAGCATCAATGAGGTGAGGGCTGCTGTTTCTGTTAACTCCCACAGATGTTTTCTAATGCTTAATGATACAAAGACAAACTTTGATCTCTATGACAACGCAAGTTAACTGCAAATGCTTTTAACATTTTCAGTCACCCGTAAACTGGAAGAAACACTGATGAAGATTGTGGTCATTGTAGAAGAATGCCAATTAGGAAACACTGTTCACCTCTATAACTGATAATTAGCAGGAAACATGACAAGTCACTAATTAAAAAATCACATCGCCTCAGTGATGCGTCATTAACTGCTGTTGTCCCGACAGGATGGTACGGTCTTCGATGGTCGGCCGATTGAGTCGCTGTCGCTCATTGACGCAGTCATGCCAGATGTGGTGCAGACGCGGCAGCAGGCCTTCCGTGACAAGTTAGCCCAGCAGCAGGCGGCCTGTGCCATGGCAGCTTCGACCTCTGGAAACCAATCCAACGCACCAAAGAATGGAGAAGCCACTGTCAATGGGGAGGAGAATGGCACCCACAACATGAGTAAGTTATGATAGTACGATCACTTATATTCTCTGTAAAATAATGATGTCTTATGGTAACCATAGGGAAGGATAAAAAGAAAAGGACAAGTATGTCTTCCATGTAAGCTTCTGGACTTGCAGCTCATAAAGAATCTTTATTTTTATTGAAATACCAGATACTATAAAAAGCTTCAGAAGGAACCTTGAAATTAATGACCCTTCAAGTTCAGTTGCAGCATTCTTATTAGTAGTCCACATATTTAAACCACATTATTCCAGCAATGGCAGAATTATAATGTTGTCTCTTAGTACTGCTCAGATTTCTCACACTTTCCAAGTAATTGATCATGCACTGACTAGTTTCAAAAAGTTTCAAAACACGGTTACATCTGCACTTTTATATGAATCTGTATGTGGAACAGGAACAAGAATTCAAAGACATGGCAGGCAGGAGTTTCTCTTCCTGGGCTGTGTTTTGGTTCTGTGCTGTCACAAGGAAGCAGCCCAGTAGTTGCATTATTACACCTACCACATCTATGTCTTCTGCAGATGATCTGTCAAAATTATCTCACAGTTTTACAGCCTTATGGTTTTCACAGAATCTGTTATCATTAGCAGCTGTGTAGCTTCCGCTTGTGAGTGAAACCAGAGAGGTGGAGCTGTAAACAAGGAGAAGAGCAGTGGATGTTTGTGTCAGCACAGCCCTTAGAAATTTCATTTGAAGGTGTGGATGGCAACCGGAATTGTTGGGTGTGAGAAAAGGTTTCACTGTCTGAGGATACGGGGAGGCTTTCACGTATTCTTAAGGCTAGATACTTTGCTGTGACTGCGTTCTCATTATACTGTGATAATTGTGTGCACTCAAAGTGGGTCAGTATTTTCAGACTGAGATAAATAAAAATAGCACTTGCATATACCAGCAGTAACGTACCATTGATTTCCTTTGATACCTTCCTGTCATTTAAAGGTTCACCTCTTTAAACACTTTGTAACGAAAGTTAATATTATTATTATTATTATTATTATTATTATTATGTATTGATGCCTAAACTAATGTGTATGCATGTGTATGCCCACTCTTCTCAGATAACCACAGTGAGCCGATGGAGATGGATGTAGATGTAGAGATACCAGCCAGTAAAGCCACAGTGCTCCGAGGCCACGAGTCTGAAGTGTTCATCTGTGCTTGGAACCCTGTCAGCGATCTGCTGGCCTCAGGGTGAGTCTCTGTGCTGAAACATATCTTAATTCATGCTTGGATGAGCCGTACTATATTGTGTGCAAGCTTTGGCTTTTATTCTGTAAGATATATGGTTTCATAAGATCCATCGCTGACAGATTATATTCCATAAAATCTTTTGACCCCCCTCCTGCTGCGTTGGTATTCTCTTCAGCTCGGGGGACTCCACCGCTAGGATCTGGAACTTGAACGAGAATAATAACTCCAACTCCACCCAGCTGGTGCTGCGCCACTGTATCCGTGAAGGTGGCCAGGATGTCCCCAGCAACAAAGACGTCACCTCACTAGACTGGAATGTAGGTTACTGATCATCTGTCCACATCTCTTCTCTTCTACTTTTACCATGTGGTAAATAGACTGTGCAGCTGAAGACAGTTAAGTAACAGGTGTCTTATCTTTCCATCCAACAGAGTGAGGGGACTCTCCTGGCAACGGGCTCGTACGATGGATTTGCCAGGATATGGACAAAGGATGGTATGTCCTCCATCATTCCAGCATGGTGTTCTTTCCTTGGTCATTAGGTTCATGCCATTGTTATTGTGAATAATGCAACATCTGTGACAATTTTTTGAAGGATCTTTTCTAAAAGAAATGGATATGGCTCTTATCCATTAGGAAATCTGGCAAGCACCTTGGGGCAGCACAAAGGGCCCATTTTTGCACTCAAGTGGAACAAGAAGGGGAACTCTATTCTCAGTGCTGGTGTAGATAAGGTATGTCATAAATTCTTAGTGTCTTTTAATAATATCCTCATGCTTTTTTTTCTTTGCCAGTCCTAAGGCTTGAAATTAACTTCTGGTATCCATAAACTACAATGCACACTGCACTGTTATCAGTCAATCTTGTGTACTATATAAACTTAAGATACAGACAGAGAGAAGACTCTGAAACTGCCTGTCTTGCATATGTTAATACATATTTCCATGTAGCATGTAACACAACCTGACTTTATTAATAAGTTAAAGGGACATTGTGTAGGAATTTCTCCATCTAGTGGTGAAATTGTATTTTGCATTCAAACGAATAGTGCTCTCTAGTGCCTCGCGTTTTCAAATGTGTAGTGCAACTACGGTAGCCGTTATGTACCAAGAAGCCTATCTGTCGAGGAGAAAGCAGGCAACTTCAGCATCCCTTTGATAGTCTTTCTCTTTCATTTGCTCTTTCTACCTGGGAAAAGCTACCCCGATGTTTACCCTAGTTTTTTGAATTCGCCGGTCACGTTGCCTTTTTAATTCCCTTTTTCGTTTTTTTGGCGACGAGGATTCCTTCTCCTGTCGCTCGGCATAAGTATGATCCTCCATTATTAACTAAAGTGCAGTGCAGACTTTAAATGTGCCGGGGCAGTGACAAGCGCCTCTCACTGATCTCCTCCTCCGTTATAGCTGGTTTCAGTCACGTGACGCTGGCTCTGAACGAAAATGCGTTGTGGATTAGCTAGACAGGTAGGCTAGTGCTTTATGTCCCTCTCGGCGATTATAGTTTTTCAAAATGGCGGAACGACATGGAAGCCTCCGTGGACTTGCCCGTCCAATGTATATACGGATAAGAAATTCTTGGCTTACGAGGATAAGTCAGATCATTGGCAGAGGTAATTTTACACCAATGAGGACACATTTATGAATGAAGACATTATTTTAGCTAATAAAATACTTAAAACACTACACAATGTCCCTTTAAAACTAAATTAAATCTCTACTAGTTATTTACATTAATTGCAGTTTTTAGGCTATAGTGACATGTTATTTTTTACAAAGCTGTGAATCAAAAAAGGGCAGAAAAAAAATGTAACTTACAAAGGGCACACACCAAGGACAGTGACTATGACACTAGCTGCATTAGTTATGTACTTTACTGTACCTACCTATTTGGTGGGTGTTTATTTCAACCCCTGGCAGTCCTTTTAGAGTACATTTACAACACACATAACGATGCATTTAGAAATGCTTCATTCATGGTTTGAAATGCTTAATTTCATTTTCCAGACGACAATCATTTGGGATGCACACACAGGAGAAGCCAAGCAGCAGTTCCCTTTTCACTCAGGTAAAACGCGTTCATGTATCCTGAGCAAGAAAAGCTTATCATTGTAGATAATAAATATGATGCAAAATGTTTCCTGCTCAATTGTGGTTGTGCTGTGGGCTCGTAAAAACCTCCCCATCATGTGCATTCAAATATTCGACAGCTCCAGCACTGGATGTCGACTGGCAGAACAACACCACCTTTGCCTCCTGCAGCACAGATATGTGCATCCACGTATGTCGCCTTGGCAGCGACCGGCCCCTCAAGACCTTCCAGGGCCATACGGTAAACAGCTTTTTAGGCGTTGATCATCTGACCTTATACCACGCTTGCTCCCTTGACAATCGCGCTAACGAGTTTTGTGTTTTGCAGAATGAAGTTAATGCCATTAAGTGGGATCCATCGGGTATGCTGCTTGCCTCCTGCTCAGACGACATGACCTTAAAGGTAAGACTGGTCCTCAAGCTTGGTTAGAGTTACAGCAAACTTAAGTAGTGATTTGTATTCAGTCACATTTTTCTGTTTCCTTTGCACACAGATTTGGAGTATGAAGCAGGAGTCCTGTGTCCATGACCTCCAGGCTCATAGTAAAGAGATCTACACTATCAAGTGGAGCCCCACAGGCCCCGGCACAAGTAACCCCAACTCCAACATCATGCTCGCCAGGTTGGAAATCTCTCAAGCACAACTCACATTTAGCACCACACTGGGCAACCACCCACGCTGCTTAATTTTAAGAAAAGTCCAAGTTTGTGGGCTCAAGACACACACACACACACACACACACACACACACACACACACACACACACACACACACACACACACACACACACACACACACACACACAGAGTCTGTGTGTGTGTGTGTATGTGTGAGTGTGTGTGAGAGAAGGGGACACTTGTCATAGCCTGGCATTCAGAAGAAACCATGTTCTAGGCAAAATCCCAGGGCTTGTTATTGTCTGTGGCCCACAGCCCTAAACCCTGACCCAGATGTGCATGCATGTGTAAATGTTCTAGTTCAAATACCACAGGAATTTATGGGCCTTACTGACAACCCAGCATACCTGAGTAAAATTCACACTGGAAGTAAAACTGCCGTTATCACCGCAGCTTGTAACGCTCTTCATAATCTTAAGTAAATGCCACAGTTGAACAGTATGTGTGCAATACATTTTTAATTGACTTGAATTTTGCTCCCTACATAACATTCTTCTGAGTTCGCTTTCATTTGTTGCCAAGGGCACCCATAGGAGATTAACCCTGACTATTTATACTTTGGTGAGAAAGATGTGTTAATTGAATCAGCCTCCTTTGTATCATCATTTGTTCTCAACAATGTTTCATTTTTACAGCCACAGATGTACACAGTTTGTCACCTTTCTCTCTGAAAGTTCACACATTTTTTTTATTGTGTAGTATCGAAGTGTGACCCTTTTTGTATGTAGTGTTTCTCCTCAGAGAGTCAGTGATTCATTGTGTTGCCAAGACACTTTATATTGTTGTTTGACAATTTGGCATTGTGAAAGATGTTCTGATGCTAAAAAAGAACACATGATAACAAGCTGTAGATTATAAAGATGTTTTAAATGCTGTTTATGAGCTTTTGGAGTTCATTCACTGCATCATAAATCTTTGGGAATAATGAACTGAAAGGCATCTTGCAGGCAATATACAATGTAGTAGTTTGATCATTTAGTCATAAAAATTAACTAATCTTATATGTTACAAATAAACAAAAGATTCAAAAACAATCTTCAGGATTCTATAATATGCTTTCATATCTGATCTGTGCACTCTCTGTCCTTTCCATGCCCACAGTGCCTCTTTCGACTCAACAGTGCGACTGTGGGATGTCGAGCGAGGGGTTTGTATTCACACACTGACCAAGCACCAGGAACCTGTCTACAGTGTGGCCTTCAGCCCCGACGGCAAGCACCTGGCCAGCGGCTCCTTTGATAAGTGTGTCCACATTTGGAACACCACGGTAAGCATCTGATCTGCACTGGAGAAGATTCATTGTGATTGCTTAATCTCAATGGAGTTGGTCATTTGTAAGTTTGCGCTGTTGTTTCAGACTGGAGCCTTGGTGCACAGCTACAGGGGCACTGGGGGTATTTTTGAGGTGTGCTGGAACAGCACTGGGGACAAAGTTGGTGCCAGCGCATCAGACGGCTCGGTAAGTCATGGCCATTGTGATGGCGAAGAAGCAATTTTTAGTTCAATTTATTGACTTTTTTGGTTTGGTGCAAATAAAATTAATTGAAAAATGCATTACTAGTACTTTGAAAACAGCAAGTAAAAAAAGTTGTTGCTTGAATTATATTATTAATGCTTATTATTAACCTAATCCTTTACCTTCCAGGTATGTGTTCTTGATCTCCGAAAATAGCGAACTTGAGACTTTGATAATGAATCCTGGAATGTGCAGCAAATTGCCTTCTTCTAACATCAGCGAACAAACTGTCACTGCTCAAGAAGAGCTGTAAGGTGGAGTGAAACAACCTCTCACAGAAGTAAAACCAGTTACTGCAGCAGCTGCTGAGGAGAACACCAACTGACTTCAGTGCACCTTACAGTTTGTTGATGTGTGTTTTATGATACGGCTATTTGAAACACAATAGAATCCGGTTAAGAGATCCCCAAGATTGGACTGAATCCAACTCCCTGGGTGCATCCATGTTTTATAAGGTTTCTAATGAGGAAGTGCTGTGATCCCTCCGGGCCACTGGTCCAGCTGTTATCGGGTTGAAAGGGTGGAAACACAAAGATGAGTTTTATATAAAGAGAAAAGTGTTAATGAGACACGTGTTTGGCTGTGAAAGGTGACAAATTATGACAGAAAGGTTGTGGTTTTAGAATTCCTCTGAGCAATTGTTACTTAATGTCCAAGAGAACTAACTTGGGGACATGATAAATGTAACATTAATACTGAAGCACTGGTATTGTCTGTGGACAGGGTGCTGAACTTCTTCTCAGTGGAGAATAGTTTGTTTCAAGAGTACTTCTTGCTTTTTTTTGGGGTCTATTTTCCACAATCGGACTTTTGAAAGTCAAAATTGAATGTGCCGCTACAAGGTTAGTTCTTAGCTCATGTTTAACATCTGGTCAACAAAGGAAAACCTGCCAAGAAAACTGTCCTAACCTCCTGAAATGACCTGCTCAGTTCACTCGAGATTAGAAAAAGTCATTTTATGGACAAGATGTGAAAAGTGTGGTTTACAAAGAGAATTTTCTCCCTTTTTGGATGTAAATTTAAGAATGTAAAGATATGTAAATTAGATTAATACACAGACTTATATACTGTGTATATATGTTTATATACAGTACACTTTATCGCCATCCTGTAGGGGCTCATTAATGGGTAGAGCTGTCACAACTTTGTGACGATACGTGACGAGACCTCTTTTTTAAACGAAGTGCATGTCTCATCAGCTTCTTTTAATTCAGTCTTTTTCAACTGGGCCAATCACATCCAATGCGTCGAGATATTTTGTTTTTCAGTTAGTCGCAAACGGCATTGACACAGACATGTTAAGCAGCTTTGCTTTCCACTATTGATCCCTGAAAGCCATGGAAGAAACCTGCACCTCTTGACCTGCATTCAGGGAATTCTCTGGTCAACCATATGTGAGGAAATAGTCATTACAGTCCTTTGCTTGGTTTCTGCTTTAACTTTGTATTGTATGTGGAACACAAAATCACAGAATTAATGTTAAGAGTATCATGCAGACAAATGGGAAAACAACTATAGCTTAATTAGCATTACCATTGTTTCTCTTTGGCACTTTCCTCTGAACAGTCTACTGAGAATTCAGAGCACATTTTGGCCAGAAACAAAAGTCCTGCTGTTGCTAAAAAGAAAAAAAACAAAAGAAAAAAGCTATGATTGGTCTAAAGTCCCACCAAATGCTGTCTGCTGATCTGATTTGAAATGCCTGTGTTTTGGGCCGAGCTTCAACAGTGTGCCGTAAGTCTGCCTCCCCCTACTTACTGGGATCTCATGTAAAAGACAGTATCTTCAAACTAACTTGCCACCACTTTGATTTGCCTTTTTTCTTGTCCCTTTTCCTTTCAGTCAACTTCTGTTAGAGCAATGTGAAGTGCACTTTTTGTAATGGGTGGTTCAGCAAATGTTCAGATATTGCTGAAAGTGAAGGGCCAATGTTTTATTTTTTGTCTCTCCCTCCCCCCCCTTTTTTTTATGTCACAATTGGATGTTAATGGGTGGTTCATTGTTTTCTGACTTTTTCATTTGAGAGCCATTATTGTCTGTGTCAGACTGAGAATTGGGCTGTGGGTTGGTGGCCATTCTTGGCATGCTAAGGAGCCCAGTATGGAATAAGTGCTGTGACAGCTACTATGTCTCTCGCACCCTGATCCAGGGTGCGGCCACCTGTTTCCAAGACAAAACGTTGAAGTCATTCAGTGTCTCAAATAAATCACTCTATTTTGATATCAGAAACCACAGAGCCTTTGTCTTGAATTGAGTGCTTTTCTTAGCTCAGGAATATTTTGTTTGAAATTGCTATGCAGTCCTCACCAACCACTCAAAAGGTATTAAGAAAGTGTCACCAACAAAACCGTAAGAAATGTTTATGTATATTTAATATAGTATAAAATAGATGTGTGCAAAAATACAAGATAGACAGTTGGAAATACAGTAACTTTACATAAAATTCTGTTGTGCTTAGATAGCCTAATGGCAAGAGTGTGTATCATAAAAGTACATGTGCATCGTATTCAATGAATTTGCTCAGACAAATATTTCCAAGCATTTAAGGCACTTTAAAAAATGTGAGTAATTAATATTAAAATGTCATGTTTGTTCTGACTGTAGACTGACTGCTACCAGAGACCAGTGCTGTAGCTTTTGGGACTGTTCAGCTGCTGTAAAGTTGAGGTAACACTGCACTGTACTGCAGACAGATTTAAAAAGCTTAGGAAAAAATAAAAGGCTTGGAATCAAGAACTAGACTTATTCTGTCGTACTAACTAATGAAATCTTGTGACCAGTTAATATCTGGGTTAATCTCAACGGGACAATGGGGGGCTAAGAGGAGACTATCTAAAACAAAAGTAACTAAAAGAACAATGTCACACAGGAAAAAGTAGAGGGGGAGCGTGTGGTTCATCGCCCCAGCTAGTGCCTCACAGAGTTCTCCAAGGATTCTCCATCAGCGTCTACATCCTCATAGTCTCGTAGCTCGCTGGAAATGTGGATTTCAACTGTACTAGACTCTGAACCTAGCAAGACAAAATAGGGGTAGATTACTGGGTGTTACTGCACATGACACCTTCACAGCTTATCAAAGTGCTCATCCATTGAGATATTCAAACCACAATCACAAATTTGTGCATTTGCTCACAAATATATTTGGGGTTTTTTCTTTCATCTATAACTGCATTTGATTGAATGATTGATGAACATATTTTAAAGCTATATAAATGAATAAAAACAAATTCTTTAAAAGATTAACTTTATTTCTAGAGGCTTGCCATTTCAGAGACACTGAATGGTGACACAAAACATTGAAACAGTCTTTGTACATGATCATGCTGCACAAACACAACTACAAAATTGTATAAAATGCTTACAAAAGCACCCTAAAATACATTTAATAGTATCTTGGCATGCCTTTTTCACAGCAGACATTTTGACTTATCATTGTAGGAAAGGCACAGGTGTTACTAATAACATTTACGATGGCTTTGTTCTCTTCAAGTGTCCCAGTAAGTCATGGCAGTGAGCCAGCACAAACAATACGAGGATGCCGAAACTGAAGCTGCTAAATGGAATTAAGCCATCATTCGTTTTATTATTTACACCTGTGCTCTTCCTACTGTGACGTGTAAAAACGTTCTGTGTGTAAAATCCCCATGTCATCACTCAGTGTTACTAGAATGAGAGTATAAATATTTACATTTGTATTCAGTAAATGCACATCAGTGTCCAATCTACACTCAGTTCAGTCTAATTCAGCAATCCTGCAATAAATAATATAATTATAAAACATAATTGTATTTGGAGATGCGTTTTCTAAAATGTTACCCCCACCCTGAACATCTGTACTCAAACATTATAAGCTTCATGAAGATTGATTGCAGGACTGTTGAATTAGACTGCATTAGTTTTAACTAGGTGTGCCCAATAAACTGCTAACTGAGTGTATTTTACCTGGTTCATCTGTATATTCAACAGCTTTGCCATTTCTTTCTGCATATCATCTTACGCACATCAATAATGGCACTTAAAAAGCTCTATGTGGTAACTTGGCACCCATGCAGCACCCTAAACAGAAGGTCAGAATTTGTACGCAACATGAAGTTCCCGTCGCAGTGGATTAACAAACACATGCAGAATGCTACCAACACTGTTGTTATCAGTTCATTAACTTTCTGTGCAATGGGATTTCACACTACTGTACTATTCAGTGCACCATAGATCGAAACAGACCATTCTGCAGAGGTCGGCTAAAACACTGGGTCAAAAATAATTGTACTATTACAAACTCATCACAGAGAACTTTAACTTTGTCCATTTTAAGCTCTCCGCAGCTTTTCCACTGAAGCTAATTTAATCGCAATGATAAAAACTTTTCCTGCGGATGATGTCATGCCAGAATGGTGTCATCCAAAAGAAAATGCATACTTCAAATAAAGAGGAGGTAGTCCAGCCACAGCATCAGGAGACACCATGAACCATAGTAGTGTGTCAGCTTTAGAACTTCACCAGCCCTGATACACAGGTGAGCTGTTACTGCCACTGAAACCCCAATTACCTTCTGAGAGGACACTGATGCCATCTGAGTGGTGCTGTCCGTTGCCCATCATGTTCTTCTTGGCGTCCTGGACATGACTCTGGTAGAGCAGAGTGCTCCCCACCACAGGATTATGGCTTGTAGCGTTGGGCACTGACGTAGAAACAGAGTCCCAGGCCAGCTCCCTCCTCCGCTGCAGGCTGAGGTCAACATCGAAGCCCGTCCAGCCGTGAAAGGCCAGAGTGTTGAGGAAAGCTTGCATGGGGTTCAGGATACCCTGAAAGAGTAAAAAATAAAAAAAGAATAAAGGTGTTAGATGCTGATAAAACTAGTGTTTCTTCATTCTGTATGTAGATGTCTTTTAACCCACCATGATAAACCATGTGATGAGGGCTGCGTTTCTGATGTTCCTGAAACTGCTGTCATTGATGTCCGTCTGCATCTCCAGGTAGAAGAGGAGGCTCTCATTGATGATGTTGGGAACCCAGCTATAAAACATCAGAGGACAAACAATATATCTTAATGAGACTCTTTTCCTCCAAAAACATACAGCTATAGATTAATTCATAAAAATGTTCATCAATTGAATATGCAGCTGATGTCCAGCTCTAATTGAGGGCTAGCACATACAGAACGAGTTTTCATTAGTTTGACTTGTGAGAGTCCCATTGCTGCAAGAGTTACACTGTAGCTACATTATAAATAATATCTGACGTACACATTCAGTTTTACATGTTTTAAATGCACAGAGAGCTGCATGTACACCACATTTTTTTTGCTACAAATTACACACACCTCACCTCACCTAATCAACATCTAATCTAATCATTTTACAACCATATTCCTGTGTTTTACAAATTCTGTCGTATTTATTTTCAGCCATTTCGAGAATTTATTGGTTTTCATTCATTTCCACATTATATTAACATTCATTGTCTGCACCTTAGATATTGTTAAAGTTAAATTATCTTCAAGAGGGAATTCAGCACAGACATCTCAAATCTGACTTCCCTTAAACTGCATTACCATAAACAATTGACAATGACAGAATGACTGCAGAGCTGTGATGTATTGCTTGTTAAAGCCAGTTTCAAGTGTCTCCCTCACTGATTTTAATACTATACAGTCTGTACAGCCTGGATTTAAAATGATTCCTCACAAAAATGTTAAGAATACATGATTTGTAGTTGAGAAGATAAATAAGACATAATGCCACATTTTGGGAAATATGCAAAGTGTTGTTTTGGTTTTACAGGGGCTTATGTGCAGTAACTTCCTGGAGTTGTTTTGACCATTAGGTTGCCAGGCAACCAGAAAATTAAGACCTAGCCTAGCCAAGATATAGTTTGGCACATAATCCCCCCCCGCCCCAATAAACACATGTTGTTTTAAAAGATGAAACAAAGTTTAAGTGAGCTCTAAGAGTGCTAGTAGGTGGATTTCATTAATGTTGGGCAGAGCCAGGTTGTTTCCAGTCTTTAAGCTTAGCTAACTGGCAGCTTCATATTTACCGTACAGCCATGCCAGTGGTTTAAATCTAACTCTCACCAAGAAAGCATAATAAGTGTACATCCCAAAAAGTCAAATTATTCCTTTAAGTTTGATAAAATTTGGTAACATACCAAATGAAGAACACCAGCATTATTTTAAAGAAGCGTCTTTTTATCTCATTGGCCAGCCGTCTCTCATTTTCTGTGTAGATTCCTTGTCGTCCTTTCAGTAAAGATGTCACTAAGGTGGAAGAACGAGAGAGGTGGTTATTGAAGCCAAAGTGCATGTGTAAGACCGTATTTGACATAAAGAGATTTGAGAGCAAGCAACTGACCTGCAGATACGGTCCGATTGAAGAAGATAGGATTGGCTACAAGGACGAGCAGCATCGGTGCGTATGTGGTGGCATAGTGAGGGATAGCGTGCTGAAGGCCTTGCTCACAACTGCACGAAAATGCAACAACAACATTAGAATTGGAAATCACAGCTGCACTGGACAGAGTTGAATAACAGAGACAGTACAGTATTAGGGCTGCACAATATTGCCATATGATTCGAGCTTAGTGGGAATGATCATTTTTACATCAGAATTTACATTTTCACTGAAAGAAACACACATAAAATCATGATGTTGTGACACACTTGGGGTCTGTACCAAACAAACAGGTTTTCTTACATCTGGAGAACAGGATTTGTAGTACTATTATAATAATATTTCCCAGGGATACAAACATTTTTCTATGAATATAAATACTGACTAAACTGTGTAGGCACGGTTCCATCTCCTTGTATATTTGAGTGATCCATAGTCCCCTGATAGCCTCACTGCTCTTACAGCAGGAAGGACAGTGACAGACAAACAAAACATTTATGTTCTTTGTTTATCTTGTGACAAGAATAGCAAATGCTAAGAGGGGCTTGAGGGTGTATCTAAAGGAAACAACAAAGAGGCTTACTCTGAGATGGATGGGTAGTAGAGCATGGCCACTCCCTCAACGCACAACAGCAAAGCCAGACCCCACGTAATCATGTGGTAGAGGATAATGGTGCTGATGGGGAAAGAAAGAAGTCATGAGACTGAGCTCACAACACATGCTGCAGCTCTGTATCTTTGCAGGCAACAAATATGCTACACAGAGGGGGAGGGAAACACATTGTTAGCCCACCGAAACACAATAAATCGGACTTGTAGAGCAACCTGAGACCACCTTCT